CACCCAGAGAGGTGCCAGGCTGGGATTTGAACCGCTGACCTTCTCGCTGAGAGGCAGCAGCTCTACCAACAGCCCCACTGTGCCACCACTCATCAAATGTCAGTTCGTTGAAAGTTTCACTAAAATCCCTCTAGTGCGATATTTTGCTAACAGACGGGTAGAGTTGATTCCAAAATGTCAAAACAATCCTAGTAATGGTAGAATATTAGTTCTGGTATGACTCTCAGCTACTACCTCCATAACTTTTTGGACAATACCTGAAAAGTCGACTGTATTCCAGTATTTTTGTGCCTCCTAAGGTGAGTTGGCTGCGGCAGCCATCTTGAATCAAGTTAGCTCCAAAGTTATTGATTTGTCATTTTAAGAATGAAGACTTTGTGCACGTTTTGTTACATTTTGTTCGGTGGTTCATAAGTTATTTTGCTAACAGCCCCCACACACATTAACTTAGACATTTTTTTGACTTTCTCCATCATTAAATCTGAAGTATTAAAAGATGTTTAACTTGATTTTTCTTCCATTAAAGCCGCCGTGTTGTTGTCAGTTTGTTCCGAACACCACGGAGCGTGTGAGAACACGTAAACACAGAGACGGTCTGTTTTTTCCCACCGTGGACTGATGAAGAACCACAGACAAGCTCAGTAACGTTGACTTCAGCTGTATCTCTACATTTCAGGTTCTGCATCTTTTGGCCCGAACAGGTAAAGCTAAGGAAACGGTTTAGGGTCAGGACAGAACCGGTCCGTTCCTCAGCTGCTGCATTTCTGTCACTCATCTCGTCTCTTCCTGTTTCTAAAGGCTCCGCTCAGACTCGACTGTTTATTTCTGCTGTAATATTAATTAAAACACATATTAAAGTGGCCACTCTGTGCCAAACATGGATGTATTTATGAGAAACATTTGATCAACAAAAGTTGTCGTTGTTTGTTTTTGCTTTTATAACACTTTTCCCTGTAAAAGCCAACAAAAGTCTCGAACAGAGTTTGATCGAACCACACAAACTTTAAAAAGATCAAGTGATTTGAGCCACAATGAGCCTGGAAGTTAGGCTCCACGGTTCAGACAACAAGGTTTACAAAACTGGATCTACTTTTGTAGCTTTTAAAAACGGAACACATGCTCTTTTAAATCACGTGTCAAACTCAAGGTTCGAGGGGCAGATGTAGCCCATGACATTTTATCGGACCCTCAATTTTAAATGTGAAATATTTTTATCGCCTCCGGTTTTGTTTTAAAAATCAGCATACTTTATTTAGTGCAGACTTCTCGTGACAGTTGGTCAACTTTGAAGCCAAGAACAATGTTTTTTTTTTTAATTTATTTTAAATTTCAGTAATCTTTGATATTGATGTGGAAAGAGAGAGACAGAGAACGTCAAACGAACCGGCAAACAAGAAAACACGTCAGGTATTTGATTTGAGTTTAATGTACTTAATGAAATGGGCTCTTGGTCTGAACCAACCGTCCATCATCTTTATCCGCGTCTTCCTTTTCTGGTTGCGGGGCTCGCTGGTGCTCATAACCAGCAGTCACTGTATGGGAGGTGGGAGACACCCTGGACAGGTCTCCAGTCCATCACAGGGACACAGAGACAAACAATACCAAGCTTTTAATTTTGCCCCAAGTTTGCTTTAATCTGCACCACAGATCCAGGACATTTTGTTGAGCCGCCCTACCTCACTGGAGCCAAACATGAAAGTGTTCTGGTTTAATGTAGTTTATGGTGGAGTCAGAGCCCCATGTACCACTGACACTGAGGTCAAAGTGTGAAATCTTACTGAATGATTAAAATCTCTGAACTTGGGCAGCACGGTGGTGCAGTTAGTAGAGCCTGGCCTCACAGCAAGAAGGTCGCCGGATCGAATCCTGGTCGGGGACCTTTCTGGGTGGAGTTTGCATGTTCTCTCCGTGCATGTGTGGGTTTTCTCCAGGTACTCCAGTTTCCTCCCACAGACCAAAAACATGCATGTTAATCTGATTGGTAACTGTCTCTAGGTGTGAGTGAGAGAGTGGATGGTTGTTTGTCTCTATGTGTCCCTGTGATGGACTGGAGACCTGTCCAGAGTGTCCCCCACCTCTCACACAGTGACTGCTGGATATGGGCACCAGTGACCCCCATTGCCCAAAAAGGACAAAATTAGTAAATATGATGGATGGATGGATGGATGGAAGGATGGATGGATGGATGGATGGATGGATGGATAATGACTGAAGTTGTGTTGGGAAGACTGCCCTCTGGTGGTGACTCAAGAAAATAAGTGAAAATATAAAAATCCAGCTCTTCAGGTCAAAACTCAGCTGTTGACCTACACCTCAAGGATAAGAGACACTCTTTTGAGGATGAAAATGATCATATTTTGGACACAGAAGACAGATGGTTTGAGAGGCGGGTGAAGGAAGCCATCTATGTAAAAAGAGAGAAATCAACTTTAAACAGAGGAGGAGGTCTCAGATTTCATCTTTCAAAAGTCTATAACGGAGCATTAGGCCTGATACCCAGTTATTTCCACTCTTATCAGGAATCTAATTCATGTGACCACAGTGGCCCGTCTGTGAGTCAGACTAACAAAGACCAGGGGTGTCAGGACAATCTTCACACAGAACACCACAGGTTTATAACTCCAAACTTCAAACTGTCTTTCTTTGAATTGAGAAAGTTCTTCGGATGAGAAGCAAAACGTCTTCAGTTACAAAATGAAGTCCAGTTTTTGTCTTGAACTTTTTGTCTTGATTTTACCATGTCCTGGTTTGACTGAGAATCTTCACCAGCGTATAAACTCTGTGAGCTGCTAACAGCTCTGAGGTTAAACATCAGTCAGAAACACGTCGGTTTAAACTTCTGGATCTTTTCTAACATCTGGTTTGTGATTTACGTTGTCCTTATTTGGGCGTGCTTTCCCCCCCGTGTGTTCCCTGGATTTCTTTCTGCTCTGTGGTCTCAGTGCACTTTGAGTATCTTGATTAGATAGAAATGTGCTACATAAGTACAGTCCTTTTACCATTGACTTGGTTCTGGTCCAGTCTAGATCTGATCCCTGGTTCCTCAGGTCCTATCGGCAGGATCCTCATCGGTCTGTGAACACGGACCTACAGTCTGAAAACAAACCCTTACTGAGATTTAACAAACCTGCATTTATCTAACCTACATTATTCACCATGCAGGTTATTTGTTTAAATTATTTATTTATTACTATTTATTTCAGGAGAACATTTTAGATACAGATGTTTAGTTTATTTATTACAGATTGACCTGCTGTTTTAATGCAATCTTGACCTTTTGATCTGCCTGACGTTTGGTGTGTGTCATACGTGAGTATGACGTTTAGTTTTAGTATTTTCCAGGTCTTGATCCGTTTGGAGAAACTTTAGTTTCATGCATCTTCAGAAAGATTCAGCTGAAAACATGAAAACTGCTCAGACAAGCAGTTCTGAAAACAACAAAGTTCATGCTCAGTCATCCAGGTACCAATTCTAATATTTCTCAGTCGGGTCATCTGGACAGTTTCTTTTTTATAGAGACGTTTCGCCCTCTATCCAGAGGGCTTCATCAGTCAGAGGAGTTCCAGTAAACCGTTTCCCACCAAGCAGTAAACTCCTTAGGTGGACCAACCAGTTTGCTGGAGCTAAGATGGTTTCTGGGGGCCGACCTGTCCCTCGTCGACTCCTCCCAGGCAGGCAGTGGTTCAAGGCAACAAAGTTCATGCTCAGTCATCCAGGTACCAAATCCAATCATTCTCAGTCAAGTCATCTGGTCATTTTTTATTTTTTTTTTAACTTAGAAAAGAAGTTCTGAAAACATTTCAGTTTTTGAGATGGACTGTTCTTCTCACAACATGCAGAGGGGGGTACACAAAAAGCACAACAGTGCATGTTTCTCCTGAGAAGACAAACAGGAGATTTTAACTGTAGTGTACCAGTCACTCATTGAGCCAGTCCTTACATTCAAGATCTCGTCGTGGTACAACTTCCTTGTAGAAAAGAACCAGAAAAAACAGCAGAGTTATCAAACAGCTAAACTTATCGATACCCCTCAAATGCATCTCACAGAACTTTATAGTCGTGCAGTACAAAGGACAGCAAGCTGTATCACCAAGGACCCTTCACCAGTCATTTACACTCCTACCTTCAGGTAACTGCTTTAGAGTAGAAGCCAAGATTTTTTTTTTACTGTTATTCTCTCTGCAGTCAGCATTTTAAATAAAGGAAATAGTTGTAGATGTGCAGATGTTTATAAGCACAGTCTTAAGTGGTTGTGGGTTTTTAGGTATTTTATGGTATGTGGTTTGGGATTTTATGTGTGATATGTTTCTGTATGATTATGTGTTATTGCTGTATTTTAATGTGTCTGAGCCTCTACTATGGACCAAAAATCATTTTCTGTTACAACTTGTGTCAGACATTAAAGTTTTTTGAATCTCGAATTGTTCTGGTTGAGAATCGTTGAAACCTGGACAACATCCTTTGTCAAACACACCCACACATTATAAAAGATTTAGCAAGAGGTAAAAAAAATAAAATAAACATCTTTATCTTGTTTGCAGACACAGTGAAGTAACTTTATTCAATAAGTTAGTTTCCAAACAAAAGTTGTAGTTTGTGAACATTTTTACCTTAATTTTTTTTTTTTTACTCGATCATTTATTTACTGACAAATATATCAGTTTGGACTTTGACCAACATTCTTGCTTGGGAATAAATATCCCTGACATCATAACTCACTAAACTTGCACAAAAATGTTATTCAAAGGTCTAAATAAATTATTAAAGTTATTTGTTCAAATAAAATGATGTCTCACCGGTCGGGACAAATAAAAAAACAGGTTGTAGCTGCTGAAGAAAGCAGAATGAATTAAATATATTTCATATAATTCCAGTGAATCTCCTGTGTCCAGCACTGGTGACAATTCAAATTTAATTGACTTATTTTATATAATTCATGTTTATATAATTTACAGGCAGCTCTGGTGGAGTGTGAAGTCTCTGGGTGACGGTCCGCCTCTTCAGCAGTTGAAGATGGAGTTGGTCCTCATGATGCGCATCACCTTCCTGGAAGTGTAGCTGTACTCGTACTGCACGTGATCATGGAAGAAGTATAAGAATCCTGGAGGAGAGCAGAGGTGGGAGTAAATGTTAGAGCTGCAGCACTGACGAAGACATAAATCCTGCTCTTGTCTGTTTTAAAGAAGACTTGTTGGATTTAACGACATCTGGTTCAACTAAAACTTATGAACAAGCAGTACGCTGATGTCCCCCATCGCTGAGGGATTTGAATAGTGAATGTTTTTTGGAGATGAGTGTTTTTCTGTACTTAAGTGGATCCTGGTGAGCGGAGGGAGCGATTTATCCACCATTGCAATGGTGGAGCCAATCACTGGAGGAAGCTATCATGTTAAGCAATATAAAAATAGTTTCCTCAAATGATCGGCGTGGTAGGTTTACTTATCGATATTGTGGTGGCCATCTTGAATTTTGACGAGACAGCCAATATTGATAGTGACCTTTCTTACGCCTGCAGCCTCACACTCAAATGAAAGTGGGCACCTCATTTGTTTTTCAAATTATCAAGCTAACAACATGCACGGACAGACAGATAAGCATATGGACAAAGAGAACAGTAGTCCCTCGCTACTTCACGGCTCGTTTATTCTGGACTCGCTCTATTGCGTTTTTTTTTATATATAAAATTGGACATGACACAAAATTGGCTGATTGATGGATGAGCCGCACAATCGGTATGTAATTTTTATTTAAAATAAATTATCTAAAATTATTTAGCACCTGCTGCACATTTGTGCAGCCCATACTGCAGGACAAACTTCCTGCTGCAGCTGATCAGCTGTTCACCGTGCAGCACGGAGAAGTGGGCGTGGTCAAGAGCGCATGCAGGAGGCAGGGAGCTGAAATCATGACATCCTGTGCTCTTTTAGAGTTTAGAAACATTGTTTAGAATATTGCAAGAGTGTGGGAAGGGTTTAAAATGCCTTATATATATATATATATATATATATATATATATATATATATATATAT